GTCGCTCTTGTCCTGCCCTGCTTGCTCATCTACTGCTACTGCAGTTTCCGCTGCTGCAGTTTCCACTGCTGTAGTTTCTACTGCTGCAGTTTCTACTACTGCAGTTTCCACTGCTGGAGTTCGTACTACAGCTTCCTCCGCTGCAGTTTTCACAAGAGGCGTTTCCATACCTGAAATTCCCCCGACTCTAGTTTTTTTCTGCTATGGCTTCCTCTGCTGCCGCTCCAGTGCCAAGAGCATCAGTCTCTCTGACAGTCATGTCCTTCATTACAAAATCTTGCCCTATCCAGCCCCCTTCTCATATCTTTCTGTGCTTGGCCGCAGACGGCTGCGTTCCTCGTCACCACCACCATCTCCTTCACGGTCTTGCTTGCAAACAGACTCTCTGTTTTCCATTGTTCTTATCATTTCACCTTCGTTGCCAGTGACATCTTCTACTCGTCTTATTGTATCATTGACAGCATGCACCCCATTGTCGCTTGTTCGGGGATTGGATGCCTGTTTCTTTGTTTACCCCGATTCTCTTTGTGCCTGCTCCACAGGTTATTGCGGTTCCTTTGTTCCAAACGGCAATATCCGCTCCTATTCCTCCTGTAGACTGTCCAGCTACCTGCAGGCAGCTACAGGACCATGTTTTATGCCCTCCAGCATAAGATATTCACGAGTCACCTGTACAACAGGATGCGCTCCCCGCCCTCCCGATTCCAGGGACAGTCCCTACTCAGGTTGCAGCCCAAGCGCTGAGGGATCGAAGTATGATTTTCCCGGATTGCAGCTAACCCAACAAAACGTAGACCACATGGGGGACCTGCAAATGGCTTTACCAGTATCGTTTGGACGAACTACAAATTTGTGCCCCACCACGTGCAGACCACATGGGTGACCTGTAAATTACTAAACCAGCAAACCGCCCAAGACATCTTGGTCTTGAAACACCATCTGGGTGATCTGCGAATTGTTGGCCAGTATCTGGCACGCAAGCTTGAGAACCCTGCCAATCTTTGTGGTCAGACCAAGAGATGATTATGGAAGGCCAAAAATTCTGGGTTTGTCGCCGCACCACCACAAGCAATGTCATCTAAAATTCCGCGAACAAATAATGCAGGCTCATAATACTAACGTAAAAAAAAAAAAAAAAA